TGCGGTTGGCTAAGACACTCAGCTTCTTTCTGTGATATGCTATCATGCTCAAGGTTAGACACACTGCTGTACATGATAGCTGGGTTCCAGGTGCATGATGTAGGAAGCTGCAAGGCATTTTAGCCAGGGCTTGGAAGTCATTCTTAGTCAATTTTACCACATTCTATGTGCCACCTGACCAAGGATGAAGGATGGCCAGATTCTGGGGGCTTTAGCTTATAAGAATAGCAGCAATGATTCTGACCCTCATTTAATCTATTGAAGGCCTAGAGGTGGAGGAGTGAGGCATGGAGCAGGTCAGTTCTGAGAATGCAGAATCTGAATGTTGCCTCCTGTCAAGCTTAACATGGGCTCCATTCAGCCAGTCTTCTTCCTTTTGAAAAGAAACTGAAAATCTGTACTTTAAAAAAGTGTATGTTAATAGAGTTTTATTTTAGAGAAGTCTGGGACTTACAGAAAAATCACAAGAGTGTCCATGTGCCTTCTCCTCTCTTATTCCCTAAGTTTCTCCAGTTATTAATATCTTGGCTAGGATGCTGTGCTGATGGATGAAGCAATGCTGATACAGTTTTATTAACTAACCCCTCCAGTTTGTTTGGATTCACTCTTTGTGAAAGTCCTATAGGTTTTACTGATTCTGACGAACACAAGGTATCTTGTACCCACCATCTAAGTGCTATATAGGATAGTTTCAGTGTTCCGAAAATGTCTTGACCCTAAATCTTTATCCTCTCATCCCTCTCCCTGTATCCTTGGCAATCACTAATCTTTATTACAAACTCCAGAGTTTTGGATTTTTCAGTAAGCTGTGTAGTTGGTATCACCCCGTTGAAGTCTTTCTAGACTAGTTTCTTCAGATGAACAATATGCATTTAAGGTTCCTCTGTGGCTTGATAAGTCATGAAACTGTATTTTTTAAATTTATTTATTTATTTATTTATTTATTTATTTATTTATTTATTTATTTGGAGTGCTTTTGTGTATACACATGCAGGTAAGGACAACTTCTCAGGGTCAATTTTGTCCTTCTACGATGTAGGTCCCTAGGTTAGAACTCATATTATCAGATCTGGGAGTAAGTATCTTCACCCACTGAGCCATTTCTCAGGCTCCAGTTACATCATTTTATTGTTGAATGATGAGAGTTCATGGGGCAGAGATACTACACAGTTTATGCACTAACACCTCCTGACATTTATCCTCATTGCTTCCAAGTTTTGGCAATTATGAATAAAGCTGCTTAAGAATCTCTGTGGATGTTTGTGTCTGTAAGTTTTCAGCTAACTTGGTGAAATACCAAGAGGTCTGACTTTGGTCATATGGTGAGGTATATTGAATTGTGTGAGGAACACACATTTCTTCCTAAGTGACCACGCTGCTCTGCATTCAGATCAGCAATGAGAAGCAGCTGCTACCACTGCCATCTTCACCAACATTGTCTGTGCTGGGATGCTGGCTGTGTTGATGAGTGCACGGTATCGGTTCTTTGGTTTTCATCTCCCTGTGACACATGATGGAAACATTTTCCATTTGCTTTTTGCTATCTGAACATTCACCATTGGTGAAGTATCTGTTCAGATTTCTTGCCCACATTTTAACTGTGTTTGATGTTTACTTATCCTTGAGTTTTATGAGATCTTTGTGAGTCTTGGATGTTGGTCCTTTATCAGATATGTGTTTTGCAAATATTTCTTTTTCCTAGTCTGTACTTTATTTCTTTGTGTTCTTAGCTTTATTTTTATTTGTTTTACTTTAAAGGAAGTTGTAGCAACATTTTCTTTCACAAATCACACCTTTGGTGTCCTACTGGAAAAGTCACCATCACAGCTGAGCCCATCTAGGTTCTAAGTTGGGCAGCTTAGCATTTCATATTCAGAACTACAATCCACTTGTAGTTAATGCAGTGAAAGTAGAAGATGTGTGTCTAGATTAATGTTTTGTCTTTACTCTCCATGTCCAGAATGAAGTCTGGGTTTTTGTGTGGGGTTTCTCAGTTTCAAAGTTTGGCTAAGTGCCTTTGCCAACCCTGTAATTTCCCCCACAGCACACTTGTGAGTAGGTTGTGTTAATCTATGTTGGATTATCTGGACTTCCTTGTCCCATCTTCCCTAATACCTACCTAGCTCACACTTTCTCTACCTCACTTTTCTCACTACTTTCATCTGGCCATGTGACCAGATATTCAGTTAACATTGACTCTGAATACATTTATGAGCTGCGAGTCCCATTCAGGTCTGCCCCATGCCACTGTCTACCATTCTTAGCCAGAGTGTAAATTCAGGGAGGGCAAGAAGTCTGCTCTTCTGGTTTACCCTAAGCAGCTTTACAGAAGTCTAGGCACAATATAGGCAGGCTTTAACAAGATTTGCTGACATTTGCAGACCAGCTGGACTTTGGTGCTAGGTTATCATCTGCCCTCTGGACTTCAGGAGAAGCCTGGCTATTGCAGAAAGCTAGGTGAGGAATTGCCCAAGATTGATACACAGTGGCCTTATCCTAGCATGGGTAGAATAGTGGCAACTCTGACTTTGATGTTCAATGTAGCTTTATGCTCACACCACCACAGGGCCTCAATGTCCTAAGAGAACTAGATGCATCATCAGAGTATCAATGGATGGTGAGTAACAAACATGTTTCTTTCATTATGATTTCTACATGGTCATGATGATCCACCAGTGTGCAATGAAACCAGGGGAAAGAATGAGGAAACTAAAAAGAACAGGTAGTTTCCTAGCGACTGGATACTCACAGTATACCTAATTAATAATATGCAAAGGGAATGATAATCTTCCATCCCCACTCTGGCCACATTTTTGTTTCCATCTGCATCAAATACTTCTAACCATCTCAAAAGGACCAGAGATAGGAGAAATGAAAGGCTGGGTTGTGACCCGGCCCGACCATCACAGCATGGTGTGCTGAAAGACACCCGAGAACCAATTTACTCAAGGAAAGCAGGGACTTCTGTTTGTCAGGACTGCTGAATTTCCATCTGTGCTCCACTCAGGCAAACTCTAGGCAGGAAAAACTGGGAAGGCAGGAATCAAGGAAATGGCCGTGAACCTGCTGCAGTTTGTAGGGACTTTGGCATGGCCTTCACACAGGGATGAGCAGACGCAGGCACCCTGTTAGCAGTTCCAATACATTTCTTGTCTCTACCCTCCAGATCCATAGGAATCAGTCAGCAACTCACTTGGCCTGGGGGCAGCAGTCTTGTGGAAAATAGAGACAGAGTTCTACTCCAATCTCTTCCAAAGACAAACTGGTACAACTATTCCTGATGTCATCCTCCATTCTGGAAAAGTCCTGAATCTGAATCAGGCAGAAAACCCCTAGATTTCATGAAGCAGGCTAAACAATCCCAATAAATAATGAAAGCCCAAATCATATACAGATAACCCTAAAAATATCCCAAGGCCCCTTTTTCAGGCCCAACTAAAAAGACATTTCCCTTTTGCATTTAGCTGCTAAACAATCTCTCGGTACACACTGTACTCAGTGGTGACTCAGGGGCCCAAGCTACCAGCTGCTAAAAGCAAAGATTAAAGACCACTGGTTGGTAAAATCAAGAGTATTAAGCAACCTGGGATAAAAATTCAACTTAGCTCATGCTGAGCAAGCAACAGCTGTAACATACGATAGGTTGACTTGATTTAAACAAATCGGAGATGAAAGAGCCAAGGAAGGAGTAGGGTAGGAGGTATAGAAGGGGAAGGGAGTCGGAGTCCAGGGTAGGAAAGGGGGCTGAAAGGGGAGCTGAATGGCAAAGGAAGCTGGTGCACAAGAGCTTGAGGAAGCATATAGCAAGGCCAGAAGACTCCAAGGGCAAGTCCAGCTACGGAGAACCAGAGGAGACTCTGTGACCACGAGCTGGAGAGGTTCAACTACTGTACACTCTAAAGTCACTGCTCCACTTTGTGGTGAACAAACACACTGTACACCAGATAGCAGGCCAGCAATTAAACTTGCTGAATGCTATGCTTTAAAGCTGCCAACAACCAGGAGAGCCCTACCTTGCTTAGTGTTCGATTTTACCTCAGCCTGCCGTTACATTTCCTTTATAAACACTTCATAAGTCAGTTTCAGAGTTCTTCTTCTTCTTAAGCATTTACTATCACTTCGTTTGTTCTAATACAAATATTGGGCCCATTTTGTAGATGACAAATATCTAAAAAGGAAGGGGACCTTAGAATGCTATCACATAACAGCACACAGAGGGACGGGGAGAAGGTGCTGTTGTCCTGTATTATCCTGAAGTTGATGCTTCACCAAGGGAAACAACTGTCTGCAGATAGCCTAGGGCTGAGCCTCAATCTGTTTTCACTAGAAAAAAGCGAAGTCAACTGTTTCCCAACTCTGATACAGCTGGTGGTAGAGCATCCAGCTGCTCTGATCAGAGCTCACATTCTTTCTGGAAGACCCTAGCTGACACGATTTATGGGGTGGTCTAAGAAGCATGCTGAGCAATGTGGGTTGAAGTTACAAGACAACTTTCTGGCCCTGGTTGAATAGTTTCTGGGGAGGACTGGACCACTAGCTCAATACTTTACCTTGTCTACAAGTGCTCAAAGCCCCAAATGGAACAAAAAATTAAATGGCTCTTTTCCTTTTACAGTCTCTAGCGAGAGGTCATTATTACACTGTTTTGATAACAGGAAGACATAAAGGGCTACTCCACACCAAGTGTTCTTCTGTATGGAAGCAGACACAGAAGTAGCATCGAACATTTTCCAGTAACCAGAACAGGCAACAGCCATCACCAAAGCCATCAGCAGGACAGTGCATCACAGATCAAGGCTAAGAAGCAGTATGTTAAGACTCTTCTTTATGGTGATGATGCCAAAGAAAAATCCACAACAAATCAGCCAAGTTCCAAGTTCTGGGAGAAGGATGGAATCATGTTCATGGAACAATGACCCAAAGTCAGGTTGAGCCAGAGAAATTCTGGAAGAATGGATGATCAGAGTCAATGAGAAGCAGACAGGGGCTATCATACTTACAGTGAATTGGGCCGAGTAGGTTTGACCACATCCAGGTTTGGGTCACTGGAGTTCATATTGGGCTGCAGGCTGCTGCTAGAATTAAGGATGCTGTTTGCACTGGAGGATACTGATTCCAAACTGGAGTTGATGATGCTGTTCCTTTGCTCCACTGAAGAGAAGAAATGATAAAAAAAAAAAAGCCCATATGTATGTTAATAGAATAGGGATAGGCTGCTCCCACACATATAAAAATTTACAAATAAGCCGGGCGGTGGTGGCGCATGCCTTTAATCCCAGCACTCGGGAGGCAGAGGCAGGCGGATTTTTGTGAGTTCGAGGCCAGCCTGGTCTACGGAGTGAGATCCAGGAAAGGCGCAAAGCTACACAGAGAAACCCTGTCTCGAAAAACCAAAAAAAAAAAAAAAAATTTACAAATAAGGAAACTAAATTGAAATATCTGAAGCTTTGAAAAAGTACAGAGGAGCCAGGCATAGTAGCACATGCCTGAATCCTTAATATTCAGAAGGTGGAGGCAAGAGGATTAGTTCATTGCCAACTTGGGCTATTTGAGTAAGACTGTCTCAAAAACAAACAAGTCAACCAAACAATAAAAACGGGACATGAGAAAGAAGAAGATTTAACAGTGGTAATGGGGGTGGGGGGGTAGTGAGGTAACTCAGTGAGTAAAAGCACCTGCCATCAAGTTCCAGTCCTTGGAAGCCACAGGGTAAATGGATAGAACATGCTGTGCATGCATACACAGATACCCACAGATCTAGTCTCCCTCCCTCCCTCCCTCTCCTCCCTACTCCCTCTCTACTCCCCCTCTCTCAGATAAATACAAAACAAAACAAAGAAAGAGTGGGAAAGGAAAGGTCAAAGGGGAACAGGTCACATGGATCTTAAAGCAGAGTCCTCCCTCATGTTGAAGGGATTGCCCCCCCTCCTCGCCACACACACCTTTAGTATCAGCCAGGCTTAAAACAGCCCTGTATATCATATGATTCCACCTAACTTGTGCCTTCTTTTGATTCACAGATGGTAAGGACACAGAGACGACCTCATGGACTCCTTGTGTTCAGCCACATTTTCTTCTAAAACCCCTGCCTCTAACTGCTTAGGGCATGTCATACCTCCAAATTCACAGCACATCACCACAGACTATCAATTCGGCCATTAATTTCCTTAGAACTCAGCTGGACTAACTTGATGACCACACCCTAGAAACATCTGCCTGCCTCTGGGGTCACACATTTGAGATTTAACTTCAAGTTAATTCTTTAATAAAGAGAGGTGTAAGGGCTGCACAGTTGTCTGTAAACACAAGACAAAAAATTGAACCCATGGTCCAAGCTACTGCATTCATATTTGGAAATTACTAGTAGAGAAACCTGAAGTCTCTCCAAGAGTTCTCCTCTGACTGGCAATGTGGCCTCAGGGACATCCCATTAAATTCTTAAATTCGTTTTCAGTTTAGACTTTTTTATTTTTGTTTTGTGTGTATGGGTGTTTTGCCTGTATGTATGCCTGTGCACCACATGCATGCCCTGATAGACCCCTGGAACCAGAGTTATAGACAGGTGTATTATATTTATCTGAGAGAGGGAGGAAGGAGAGGGAGTAGGAAGGAGAGGGCGGGAGTATCTGTGTATGCATGCACAGCATGGTCTATCCATTCACCAAGGATTGGAACTTGATGGCAGCAGGTGCTTTTACTCACTCAGCTACCTCACTACCCCTTACACCTGGGAATTGAACCTGGGTTCTCTATGGGAGCAGCCAGTGCTCGTAACCCCTGAGTTATCTATCACTCCAGTCCAGATGAATCTCTGAAATGGGGAGAATGAGAACTGCCCTGCACAGCTCATGAGCTGTCATGAGGATCAAGTGGGATCATATGCTGGAATGTGCTTTATAAACATTGGGATAGTGCTCAAAGAAAGGAACTTTCTGTTTCTTCTCATCTTCAAAAACTTGGAAGCAAGAATTGAAAGATCTGGGGGATGATGCAGCTAAATGGCATGGGTACCACTGGTGGAGCAACATGTTACAGACCTGGAATGTCCGTCCCTTCCCACATTCCAGACTCACTGGTCACAACAACTGGTGTTGCTGGCCATTACTTCATTTGCCATGAAATAAGTGGGTTAATTCTTCTGGAGCCTTCATCTATGAAGGCACGCTACATCTCAAAGTGACAGACTGGAATCACTGACACACTCATTTACAGATGAACATTTGAACTCGAGTCTCGTTTGGACAATAAAGGGATGAGAGCATTAAAAACGCTTTCCTCTGGGGGCTGGAGAGGTGGCTCAGTATGGAGGGAAGGGAAGGGGAAGGGAGTAGGAAGGGGAGGAGGGGGAAGAGGAGGGGAGGGAGGACAGCAACAGGCAGACTACCAGGGCCAGTGAGCAGGGACTTACTACCAAGAAGGAAAAACTCCTGCCTTAGACACCAGTGAGCACTGAGAAAACGGAGCAGACACCAGCAGAGGGGATAAACCTCATAAGCCCCAAACTGCAGAAGAGATGGCCGAAAACTTCTAGGTAGAAGCTTCTCTGAGGCGCTGACAGTCTTGACTGAGGGCAAGTAGGAAGGTGGATAGGAATGTAAAGATTATTTCAGAGAGCGGGTCAGGGAGCAAAGGGAAAAGCACACAGAACAGTTCAATGGTTACAGCAAACTAGACCAAGACAAACTCTAAAGCATTTGGAATAAATTAAGAAATAAAGGGAAAATGACTCAGTAATGTCACTTAAGACAGGAGGCCCCTCCCACTGTGGGCAAATGAATACTTGTTTCTGAGAGGAAAGCAGAGGACTGGAAGACTTCCTCCAATGAAGAGGAGCCACCCCTTCACATAGGGGAGCTAAGCATCTGAGTCCAGGGTGACAGGCCAGCTCCGGCAGCCCCATCAGAAGCTAGAATGGGGACATCCCATTTTCTCAGTGCTCACTGGGGAAATGCAGATTATAAGCTAGGGGACTTCAAAAGAGACCAGCCACCAGTTAGGAGCCAAGCCAACAGGATCAGGGAGGACCATGAGAATGACAAAGGAGAAAGAATGCCGCTCTCAGGGGTGCTCAGAGCTAGCTAGTCAGTGAGAATGCTCGCCTTCCCCAAATTTGTTGTCAGTGAATGCCTCTTCCAATATTAGTCACCAGAAGCAAGAGCACAGAAATGAGGAAATGGAGGAATAAATTGCCAGTTATAAACACGCGTAGGGAACGTGTTGGATGATTTCGTGAAAATGTATCTTAAAGCACTGACAGCAGATATAGACTTAGTCCTTAATGACATAAACTACTCAGAGGCAAGCATAGGCTATCTGGCCACACAGTGTCCATTAAAACGACCTGTGAGGTCAGAGGTCACTATACTTTCCTGATGAACAGCCCATGAATTCTGCACACCAAAGCCCCATGAATGGTCACGCATTAAGTCACAAATAGAAGAGAAGAATATGCAATCAAAATTTCTTCTTCTGGAACGGAGAGAGGTAGTTGTGTGGGCCTGAATTTCGCAAGTACTTCAGGCAGGGACCTTGAAACCAAAGCACTGGTGACTGTGGGCAGCATTTATGTTTTCTGTACAAATCAAGAGCGGAAAACACAAGTATGCAACCAAATCACTGCAACTAAAAAAGGAAAGCCACAGAGTAATTTTGGTGATGTTGTACTTGTTCTGGGGGTTGCCATGGAAACGTGGAAGCTAAGCTCCAGCACTTTTCATATTTACTAAGTGACTCCAACTCACTCTAATGGCAACCCCATCCAACACAGGAGGCGGGATCTGTTTATCACAGAGCCCACAGGCAAAGGCTGGGGAACACAGAGCCAAGCCAAACGTACAGGTCTTGGCAGGCTGGAACTTGTCTGGCCCTCTGAACACACAGAACTGAAGGGTAAACATGAAACAGGGATCTTCGCCACTTTAAGGGATAGTTCCCACTCTGCAGAAGCCTGTCAAATTTTGGGCTAATATGTCATTTTTCCACAACACAAAATACTAGAGGTTGAAAAGGACTCACGACTCCTCACAGGGACAAGTCTCTCCACCGCACTCCCCCTCTTTCCAAGCTCAAACATGAAATCAGGAGAAAAGAGAGTTACTAGTCGGGAAGCTTTGCAGAGACCCTGAGTTTTACACAGAGAACAGAGAGGCACAAGCAAAATCCCCAGAGGCATTCTTGTGCTATAGCTGGGAGAGAGGTGCACTCTCCTCTGCTTGTCAGAGTTGCGCAATGAAGTCTGTGATGCATCATCTTGACAAGATGGGATGATAATAGCATGGCAGCTTAATGAATTTTGCAATAAAAATGATGAATGCACAGCAGTTTCTGAATTTGCCATCTCTGGGAAACACCCAAGCACATGGGAAGCTTGGACTCAGACTTTGTGACTATGCAGTGATTCTTTTTCACACTATAGCCTTCCTGCCTGATAGCACAGCAGACCAAGCCAGAAGAAAAGCCAAGGTGGTCTGATCTCATGGTGGCTCAGTCTCAGATGTCAAAGCAATTGTACAAACAGTATGTGTAGTACGTTTAGGCATATGAGAACAGCAGCTTGGGCCATGAGTCAAGGAGTAAACAAGGGTTTGATGGGTGAGAAAGAAGCATGGCCAGTGTATGGCTTGATCGTTTGTGCAGCTCCTGATACTGTGACTTTCACCAGGTTGCTTCAGTAAATAACGTCCAGCTTCGTCCACCGTGGACTGGCTGACTTATGCACTCTCTTTCTATAGTGTTCATATAAACTTTTTCCTTGCAAAGGAAGAAAATATCAATAAAAGTGGATTTTATGAAAGAGTGGAGAAGGCATGGTGGCTGGCCCAGGAGTGAAATGACTCCCAAGAATGAGGCACGGAAGCACAATGGAGAAGCCCAGTCCTGAGGCTATGCCCATACTGAAGGCTGCAGAGATTACACTTAATGGCTGTGCTGGGAACTGAATGATTACAAGTAAGTAAATTCTCCACCACGGTCACCTTTGCTGCCGACCCTGCTGGCTGTGCATGGCTAGCAAAACTATGTATAACTTATTTTTATACCATGAATCGTTAGAAATTGGCTTGGGATAGTAAATAAGTGATACAATTAGGGAACTTTGTTTGCAATAAGAAAAATTCAACACATAGTAAATATGCATTCCTTTCCAATCTAGA